GTTTTCGGAGACCAGCATCCCAGGTAGGTTGATATGAACCAGTTGATTTCTTTCTCCCTCTCTTTCTTCTCCCCCTTGCTCCCCATCAAAATACTCTTGAATCACAGGCAGGCTGGGCTGCCTATAAAGCTCTCTTTCTGGCATTCACAAGCAGAACAAGAGCAGTCTCACCCCAGTGCACCCAGAAAAGGAGAGATGTGCCAACCCCACCAGCGGGTCAGGGGCATGGCAGGAGCTGGCTCCACAAGGTGGGCAAAGCTCCTCAGCCTGCAGAGGATGAAATCCAGATTAACTTGTTCTTTCCTGCCCCCTCCCATATGTAAATCCTATACCTGTGCAGTCTATAGGTGTTACGGACAGACAAACCCCTGCTTTCCCCCAGCCCCATCATCCCCAACCACGTGGCCTTTGTTGGAAGCCCTGGATTCCCCCCCAGCAAGAGCTGGAGGATGGTTGACTTCAAACTCCGCTAAACAGTAGAGGCACAATGCAAACAAATGTATTGCAGCATGCAGCTATGCAAATAGCTTTAGAGCACAGCACGTTTTCCCCAGCGTTAATTGCTGCACCGCCAGGGTTGCGTAGCAACAGCTCCGTTTGCGGCTCTGACAGCTCCTGCCCCTTGATGCCTCTGACACCTTCTGCAGCAGGCGGGGAAGGAGGAGAGAACGGGGCTGCCCTGGGAAAGCTAGAAGAGCCAGGAGGTAGCGAGGGGCTCAGGCGATCAGATTTGCTTGGGATGCTGGGGTGTCTTCTGCTGGCTTGAGGCAATATGTGCAGCAGGGCTGGAAGTAGGGCGTTGGGGGGCAGGAGCAGAGAAGCCCCCAGCAGCCACAGCCTTGTGTAGGCACCTTTCAAAGCTGGTGGCCAGAAAGGACAGACCTACCATCTCCCAGGCTCTGCAGAAAAGCTCACTGGCAGGTGGGTCATCTCTCCCATCGCAGTGAATCCTTCTGGGTACCCCACAGGGGTTTGTGACTGTGTTCGCAGCTTGGCTACAGGCATAGAGGGTCCCCAGTAAGTCACCTCCCCCCAGCCATGGAGCTGCAGTAGGCTTGTGGCTTCTCCAGCCATTGAGAGGGATGACACATTCCTCATGCACAGCCAAAACCAAGACAGCCTCAAGCCAAGCCCTGTGGGAAGGGATGAGCGTGGGCACTGGGGAGATGCTGCAGACGTGTATGGGCTGCCCCAGACTCCCTCGCTTGTCTGCTGAGCCCAGCAGCTTCTGTTGGGCTGACCTGTGCCTCCTGAAAGGCAGGCTCTTCAGAGACAGGAGTGGCTGCCTCCTGAGAGCAATTTTTCCTCCTGTTTAAAACCGTGTTCCCAATTCCCATCTTCTGTGTTTGGCAGTCAATCTTCAGCTCCCACTGCGCCTTTGCCAGCAGGGCTGAGGAACCTGTTAGTAGCTGGCACCTTCCCCCAAGAAGGCACTTCAGCTCTGCAATCAGCTCTCCTCTCCTCTCTGATAAGCCACATAAATAAATAGTTTCTCTGCAACAGTTTACACAATCCATAAACAACCCTGACTGAAGCCGTGGGGCACTTGAAATAAACTCTTCTATTACACCGGAGCATGAAATATGCTCTTCTCTGAAACTGCCTTAAGTAGCAAGGATGCAGGCAGTCCTGCGTCCATCGTCTGCCAGGCAAGACAATGGCTGTGGCCATGTTTTATTTAGTAATAATAGCTAGGACAGACAGTAATGGTGGGAAATACTGGGCAAGTACCAAGGGGCACAGATTACTGGGTCCCAGGGAGCACAGAGCTGTGTCTGAGAGATCTGGGGATGGAGAGGCACAGGCTGTGGCTCAGCACCCCGGAGGGACGGGGAGAGGAAGGACCGAGGTGGAATCCAGCCGTGCTTAGAGCCTGGCTGCAGGTGGCGGGGAAAGCCTCAAGGTTATCCTTTGAAACTGAGAAAAAGGGGATACTGCCTGCAGTGCCTGAACAGGGGTGGGCTGGGGAAGGAGCAGATGAGCTCAAGGTGAGAAATTGCAGCCTGTCTTTGAGCCAAAGTGATACAAAAGCAGAGGACCCTGAATGCAACATGCCTGCAGAAGCAGGTGAACTGTGTCATGGAGTGTGAGATGGGTCTTCTAAGGACAAAGAGCATCAAGGCTGAAGGGATTTATTTCCTTTATCAAGCAGGAAAAATATTTATCTCTGTTTTTTACATTTACAACTTGACAAACTGTGCGTATCTCAGATTGACTCCTTCGAGTACAGTGGGGCAAATAGGGTAAAAATGAGCACCAGGGACTCAGACACACTTCAGAGGAAGAAAGTAGTTGAAGGCAAGGCAGAAATGCCACCCTGGAGCCTTTGGGACCAGGGACCTCAGGTTCCCTCCGCCATACGAGCAGGACATGGGTCTTTTCCAGCCCTGCACGCCCGTGCAAAGCAGCTGTGACCTGCGACTGACTGCATTCAGCATCACTGCTGCAAGGCAAGGAAGGACTGCGCCTGGCCACTTCGGTCCCTTCTCCCAAATTAGGGACTCTGTACACAGACCCACGATCTCCTCCCTCACCAGGCATCGCCCAGCCCGTAGCTCACCTTTTCTTCCTCACCACCCACCCAAGCAACTGCGTCACCTGTGCCATGGGCTTTTCCTTCATGGCCATTTGCGTGTAGCACCCGAAGGCGCCCTGGAAAGGAGGGAGTTGGCTGTTTTGCCACTGTAACCGCTTCCCGAGGCTGCTCGGGGAGCGTGGCAGCGGGGTGGGCCGGGGCAGGGCCACACCTCTGCCACTGCTGTTATAAATTCAGGCTCGCTGGGGGAAGATGGCTGCCGCTCTTAGGAGCTGGGCTTGCGAGCAGGTAAGAGGAAAGCAACCACCTTCTTTGCAAAGGTGGAAAAAAAGTTGTGCTGAGCTCTGCCTCTTCGCCAAGCCCCCTGCTCCAAGCCCTCCTCTTGCAGGGGGGTGAAAGGTTTTTTATCCCCTTTGTTATTCAGCAGGGCAAGGGGAGGAGCTGGGCTGTGTAAGAGATCCTGGCTGACATAACCCTTCCCATGCAGAGCTCTGGAGAGGAGCCAGGTTGTACCTGAGCATTTTTATTTAAACTAATCCCAGGCATTGCAAATTGAAAGTCATCGCTGCACCAGGTAGAACCAGTTGAGACGGTTGCTGGAGGGCGTTTTTCTCGCCCGGGTGTAGTAAAGCAGTCTAGAGGTACGTTGTTTATCGCTAACCCCGGGAGTAGGTTCTGGAGGTGCCGAAGCACATTCGGCAAGCTGAGCTCGCTCAGCCTTTCCAGGCGGTTTTGAGAAAACCCTGCCCAAGGAAACAGCAGCCGTGATTGAGAGGCGAAGCCTCATTACGGTTTAAACTTTGGGGAAACTGCAAGGCGAAGGGCTGCCTAGCAGATTCTAGGGCAGGCTTGGCTTTAGCCTAGCATTTCTGGGCAAAGAGGAGGCTGGGTGCCACCCGGCCAGCCCCGGAGCCCAAAGGTGCCCCTGGTGCCTTTCCCTTTGCCGAGTTTGGGAGCAGAGCCCGGGAGCCCAGGGGGAAGCGAGTTGCTGGAGGTGCCTCCCCAGTGCTTGTCAGTTCAAAGAAAGCAGCCAGCAAGCAGTCAGTAAGCAGCAGGTGAGGGCTGCCCGGGGCCGGCTCCAGCACACCAGCTACCACCGGGTACAGCCAGCTCCAGTCCCTGGCTTTCCCTCCTCCTTCTCTCTGCCGAGGGCTCCTCCGAGCTGGGGCTCTTCCTCCTTGTCCACCCGTCAAGCCCTGCGCCTGGCAGCGTCGGGAGGAAAAATCCACTCCAGATAAAACTGCTTTTCCCCACCCTGTCCCCAAACCCTGAGATAAGCGTTGCCCCCCCTCGACCCAGCCAAGTGAGCAAGGTCAGCGTCTGATGCTGGCGGGGGAGAGCAAGGCTGTAGTGGGGGGAAACGACTTTCACTCCTCCGGTACAAGGCCAGGAGGTGCAAAGTGCACTGTTACTGCAACGGAACCCAGCATTGCTGGCAAAGCTCCTGTGCCAGGCAGCGTGGGTGCCAAGGCGCGCAGCCCCCTCGATGTGGCGAGGACTGGGTGGGAATCGCTTGCGCTGCCGTTGGGAACAGATACAGTCTCGATAACAGCACCTGGCACGGTGCTCCTGATGAGTTCATGCAAACACTGCGTAATTATCCCTTAACCTCTCCACCAATAAGTCCTAATTAATTGCCTCTCCCAAGCAGGTAAACGGTAATGGCCTCGGTTTGAGAGCTAGCTAGTGGCAGTGATCCTGTGCTGTAGCAGCACACCTTTCTGAGCGACTATCAGCTGCAGAGCCACTTTATTAAATGGCAGTAAATCAAAGGTCAGTGTAAATGGTAAGGCACTGCACCACATGTGGGTGCACTGCTGCCTGCATGTCCTGCAGGCTGGGAGCTCGCCAAAATTTCTGTACTGATTACAGAGGAGGCTCAGATCTGCCTAGTTTGCCCTAGACCCGTCTTCTGCCACTGAGGCGTATGCAGAATTGGAAGACTTACAGTAGTTCAAGATTTCTGGCATCTGGCTGCCCAGCTGGGGTGCTGCTCTGCTCCCACCCAGCCTGTCTGTGCAGATCGAGCATGCAGAGGCGTGCAATCGTCCTGATGGGTCCTAGCAGTGCTGGGCCTTCTATACTGGGCACCGTGCAGATACTAAATCTGATTCTCACTGGGAAATTCAGGATGTCCTAGGCAGAAGTGTAATTCTGGGTGCTCTGGCAGTGGGAGACAAACAAGTCCATGTCCTGCCAGCTGTATACATACGTAAGCGTACACACTGGGGACTGAAGGGATACCTGCCAGCCCTGTGACAACAGGGTGCTTGATCTCACCTGAAGGCCAAGCAAGCGACATGCCTGAGTGGGAGGAGAAGGTCTATTCCAGTTTTGCAGCATAAACTTTTATTCTCTGGAACATCTAACTGACTGCTTCTCTCTTTGTCTCTCTAGTGAGGATGCAGCAGAGACAATAGCAATAGACTCTAACAATCAGCCGAAGTCTCCACTGGAAAAGTTTATGGTCAGACTGTGTACACATCACCAGAAGCAATTCATTCGTGTGTTAAACGACATATACACTGAAGTACAACCAGACTCTGAAGGCCAGCAGTTGTCTGAATCTGAGAGCATGGAGGCCTCTACTTGTGGCTCTGGTTGTAGCCAGCGAAGCACTGAAAACCAGGATAAGGGTGCTACTTGTACTGAATCAAAGCCCCCTTCTTCCTCGGACCCAGGACAGTCGGGGTCCGATGGCCCCCTGCATGTTACGGGACAAGCCCCGAAGCAGCCGGTGGAGCTGAAGTCTCTGGACAGAGCAGAGAGCTCCAGTCCTGCTTTGAGAAGGGAATTCTCCGAGCTCCCTGTCACCAGGCTTCGTTCTGCTAGTCCAAAGGATAGCTCCACCCAAGGATACCTCAGCACGTTGAACTCTTCCTCTTTGAATTTCCATCATGCCGCAAAGAGCCTGGAAGGGCAGCAAGCTGCTGGACACGAGCAAGAAGCCGGTGTCAGAAAGTGTGAGGACAATAAAGAGCAGCTAGCAGGTAAGACTCTCGTGGAAGGTTATATCTCGGTCAAAGTGGCAAATGTGAACGGCAGCGAGGACAGCTTAGACAGCTGTCTGGGGTCCCAAAAGAGCTCTTTCAGAGCTCTGCCAGAAGAGTCCTGGGATCCCGGCTTTGCGGTGACTCCCCCTCGCAGAGCCGACAAAGAGAACACTTTGCAATGCAGCTCGAAAGCATCTTTGCACCAGGACTTAGACGCAAAAGAACAAGATGCGAGACCAAAGCAAGAAAACCACCTGCACGCCATGGCCAAGGGCAAGGCAGGCTGCCACCTGCACCCAGCCGACAAGGGCCCGCTCGAAAAGTCCAAAGAGAGCTGGCTGCCCGCTGGCACCGGAAGAGCAAGAAGGCGTCAGGGCTGAGGATCAACGACTACGACAACCAGTGTGACGTGGTCTACATCAGCCAGCCCATCACCGAGTGCCATTTCGAGAGCCAGCGGTCGGTGTCGTCCCGCAAGACGGCGAGGAAGAGCACACGGGGGTATTACTTCAACGGGGAGTGCTGTGAGCTCCCGACTGTCCGCACACTGGTTAAGAGAGCAAGAAGGCGTCAGGGCTGAGGATCAACGACTACGACAACCAGTGTGACGTGGTCTACATCAGCCAGCCCATCACCGAGTGCCATTTCGAGAGCCAGCGGTCGGTGTCGTCCCGCAAGACGGCGAGGAAGAGCACACGGGGGTATTACTTCAACGGGGAGTGCTGTGAGCTCCCGACTGTCCGCACACTGGTTAAGGGCTCCCGGGCGGAGGAGAAGGGGAGCAGCCTGGCACTGCGAACAGAGACCCTCGTAAGCGCTAAGCCGCCCCTGGTGCTCTCGGTGGGGGGGTCTGCGGAGGCGGGACGGGAAGGCGAGAAAAGGGTTTCCCTGAGGCTCCTGGCTAAAGGGGCACCGACCAGCCGGGAAACAAAAGAGAGAGCTGAGCCAGGCTCCGTGCAGCCCCGTGATACCCGGGCGCTGCGGTCGAGCGAAGCCGCTGTGGCCATGCCCTTC